GGAGGGTGCCCACCGGCCCCAAACCCCCATCCCCTTTGTCCCCTGGCCGGGCCCCCAGCCAGGGGGACCCACAGCCAGGGGGACACACAGCCAGGGGGACACACACAGCTTACATAAGGAGCTCTGACAGCCTCCTCACCTCCTGGGCAGCCAGCCCTCCACTCCGATCCTAGGAAGACGCAGACGCAGGACTTGTCCTCCACATTCACAACTCGGACATCGCCGCTCATCTATGGAGGGCTCCCCCCAAGGCCCATGGACACTGCTGGGCTTCGGGCCTTTCTGGGGTTCAGGCTTGAGGACATTTTCCGTCCTCATCTTCCCGGACCTTGCTGACACCCCTCTTAGGGCACTGCACCCTCCTGCCTCTTCCTGTCCCGCTGGCTGCTCCTTCTCCATCTCCGAGGGCTCCTTTCCTTCTAATGGCCATGGGGTTCAGGGCCTCCTGACCTCAGAGGCAGCTGAGCACTGCCCCTTAGCTTCCTGTCCACACATCAAGCCCTGTCTCTCTCCTGGGCCATGAGTCATCATGTCCCCCAGAAATGTATTCACAACTGCACATCCTTTGGTCCCATCTAACCCTACCCAAACCTCTGTCCCCCACCACCCAGTGACCCAGCCAGAGATGGGCAGCACTTGGGCCCATCCTCCTCCAGCTCCCCAGCGGTAATAGCTCCCTCTAACTCATCCCCACGGGGTAGGGGGTGCTCTGAAAATACAGATTGGAATGACTTCATGTCTCCTCTGCCTAAAAACCTCTCCATCCTCCTCCGTGGACCTGAGATGAACTTTGAAGAGCCCTCAATGGTGCTGCCCTCAAATCTCTGCTTGGAATACCTTTAAGTGTCAATGAGAGTTTATGCATAGTTGGAGTCATTAGAGCCTGACCTTTCTCCCCCTAGATCAGTTCTCCTGCCTACCTGGCCAGGCAGAGGAAGGGCTCTGGACACTCGTGTCACTCAGTAGCAGCCAGTCCACTTGACCTTGCAAAAGCCACATATACGACCTTCCAGCTCCCAGTGTTACCGGAAAAGGGACCAGGCCCGGAGCGGGTCTGCCTCTGGCTGGCCTGATTTGTGTTGGGTTCTTGATTTCATGCAGAAAAGATTTCACAAATGAGGCCAGGTGATTTTAAGAGTACATTTATTAAAGCTGGGGACAGTGAAACAAGCAAGGGCTTAGGAGAGAAGAAGCAACAGGAGAGCCTCGGTGGGGCTGCTTTGGCTCACAGGGAAGTCAGAGAAAAGGGGGTGTTGGGAACAGGTTCAGGGGGCTAGCCGGATGGAACTGCAGCTGCCCATTGTTCCCCTGGTTGCAAGTGGGACCTTTGAGTTTAGGAGACGCACACCTGAGAGGGAAGGAAGGCATGGGCAAGCACACCCCGCGTCCTTGGCCTGAGGGTTTTAAAGACGGGGAGTTCACGGTCTCACACCGTTACAGCAGCCCACCAGCTGAAAGCCCACTCCGCACCAAGGAAGTACTAAGTCAGATGTCCTCCAGCACCATCAGTGTTACTCGGTATATTGATTCATCCCCATTCTTCAGATGAGCAAACTGAGTCTCAGGAAAGTCAGACTGATACAGGATAGTAAGAAGATAGGAAAATTCCTTGGCAGGTGGAATGGGAAACTGAGACAGATAGCTGAACGAACTGGCCCAGCACTTTATAGCAGATACAGAAGGTTACCAGGGTGGAAATCCCTGGGTGCCTAGCAATGGACAAAAAAATTGGTGCCGGACCTCATCACCAGGGTGGTCTTTCCTCCTCTGGTATATCCCTGGCTATGCGGGTGAGACCCCCCCTGACCCTTCCTCCCTAGCGATAACAGATAACATCTAGGCCTTGGTTGTATTTCAGGTCTAAGCCCATAAAAGCAGCAAAACCAGGTGGGCGATGCCAGAACCAGCTGTGACAAGTATTGACCCCTCTGTTCCTGGCGCCAACCAATCAGTGGTGACCACGGCCCTGAAAGTATTCACCTAGAAAAGCTGATGACTGTTCTATTGAGATCCTTCCCTAAGACCTCTCCTAAACTCTCCGCCTTCAAAACCCAAGCCTAAGGAATCAGCATCCACTCTTCCTGCCGGGAGCATACCCCGGGGCATCCCCTAAACTCTAAGCGACCTGAGACTTGCAACCAAGGGGCCTGTCTCTAAGGCCCCCTTTCTTCTGACTGGCCAGTGAGCTGACGGCAGCCCCGCCTTGGCCCATTTCTTTCTCATAATGTTCCTCGAGAGCAAAAGCAGCCCCGCCTAGTCTCTCTCCTGTTGCTTCTTCTCTCCTTAGCCCTTCCTTAGTTCGCTGCCCCCAGCTTTAACAAACGCACTCTCAAAATCACCTGGAATCTTCTCTCAAAATGCTGTGAAACCTTTCCTGCATGAAGTCAAGACCCCTCATTGGGGCAGTCCCTGTCTGGTAACAAGGAGAGTCCACAGGCTACTTGGCTGAGCTGGCAGAACTCAGAGTTGAACCCCAGTCTGCTGGTCCTGAAGCCTGCTCTGATTCCATGCTCTCTCTGCAGCTGTGAACAGAGGGTGGCAGTTCAGCTGAAATGGGTCAGGGGTGAATGGGAGTGCAAGGCCACCACAAGGGCGTGGCACGAATGGGTGGGCATCAAGGCAGAGCTGGGAGTCAGGCCGGGCAGTGCCTGGGGGTGAGGGTCTGCTCCTTTCCATGTTGTCATCCTTTTGCCAAGGCCAGCGATGCAGCTGGACCATTGTTTCCCTAGGCACCCTCACCCTCTCCGGAGCAGCGCTTCTTCCAGGTTTAGCCAATAACTAGTGCAGTGGGAGGGTTCAGAGCGCCTTCTAGTGGCCTCCAGGATGTATCAAAGCCTGAAGCCCAGGCTGGCCCTGCCCTGTATACAGGAACTAGAGCTCCCACCACCCTAACGCCCCTGCCTGGCTCTGCGCTCTGCACTAGAGAATTCAGGCCTGGACCCCATCCCTATGCATATGTTCCTGTATCAGACTCTCTGTCTTTATCCATTTCCACTTGCTCCCCAGTCTCTCAGTCCATCTCTGCCCATCTTGGCCATACCAGTCTCAGCCTCCCTCAGTCTTCCTCAGCCCCCTAGCAGGACAGATGAGCTGAAACAAAGTAGAAGGGTGGCATCCTAAAAAGAACTCTAGGTTCAAAGGATGCTGAGACCTACAAGCTGAGAGAGAAGAGAAAGCTGGGAAGGGGAGTCCAGCCAGGGTGACCTGCAGTCTTGTCTCTGGTACCCCGATCTGGGGTGGCATATAAGGCCTGCTGACCAGGCAGGCGCAGGAGCTGCATTCCAGAATGAATGGTTCAGCCCTAACTGGTTTGGCTCGGTGGATAGAGGCGTTGGCCTGCGGAATGAAGGGTCCCAGGTTCGATTCCGGTCAAGGGCACATGCCCGGGTTGCGGGTTCAATCATTAGGGGTTGTGCAGGAGGCAGCTGATCAATGATTCTCTCTCATCATTGCTGTTTCTATTATATATATATTTTTTAAAGGAATGTTTCAGGTCCTGGTTCTTAGTCCCAGGAGGGGAACTAGATTCCAGGAGAAGGGGCAGGAGAATAAAGCCCAAAGCGGTGCAAAGGAGCCACACTTCGGTGCTGAGAGAACCCACCGAGGCCACAGGAAAGACCTGGCCCCTGGTTACCTGCTCTCTAGCCCTTTTACCCCTCCACTAGCTCCCTCCTCTCACACTCCGAATAGAGCCTAGGCCAGGCAACCTTACAGCATCCAGAATACTTTTATTGCCACAATCAAGATACAGCCTGTTCAGAGCCCGATAGGGGGCCCACCCCTCAGAAACACAGGGAGAGACAGACGCTGGGTATGTACGAAACAGAGAAAATCCGGCTCCAAAGAAACCTGTGGGAGGGCAGCACAGTCCAGCCTGATTGTGGTTTTGGGCCCTCACCCTAGAGGCTAGAACCAAGTCTTGGCCTATAGCTATTGCCCACTCAGAGACCATTGCCGAAAGGCAGATACAGACTCTCCAGCTCTGCTGTCATAGGAAGACCATACCAAGCATGTCAAACTCGCAGCCCACGGGCCGCATGCCTCATTTATTTGGCCCGTGTTAGCCTTTGAGTTTGACATGCTTGACCCACGCAGCATCTGGGGGCAGACAGGAACCCCGCAGGAGGGCTCCAAGGCACCTGGCTCTCACAGGGGCCCACTCAAGTTCCTGAACTAGTCCCTGCAGACTAAACACCACTGTGCTGCCTGGTGGAGGTAGGTGCTGGGCAGGGTGGGCGGGAGCCCAACCTCCTCTCAGCCCTGTGTCGGCCCACGTGGGTGCTAGAGAAACCCTATGGCAGGGTGACAATATGGTGATGGGGTTAGCAAGAGGTCAGGTTAAAAAAAAAAAAAAGTCAGGTTAGGGAAGCTCTGAGTCACCTTGGTTCGATCTTGAGTTCTCTTTCTTCATCAGGATCTAAAAGGCTATGGCACTGAGTCCTGAATAGCAGTTCTAGGGTGAAGGGAGCCAGCATCGATACTGTCAACCGGTGACAGCCCACCAGGGGATCAGAGCTCCTGGGATACAGCCTGC